GGTTATTTTCCAATTTTGCCATGAACTTGTTGTAAGCTTATTCAACTATTGTATTATTAATCTCACTGTAATTTAGACACTTAATCCACTATGTAAATTTCTGTGTTATTATGATTGAATACATGTCTGCACATCAATTTTAATCTATTCTCCCATTGGTTGTAATATACAAACAATCAATAATTTATCCATACTTGATTAACACTCAAAAATATATATGAGTCTTTAACAGACACACACACTCTTGGTTTCCATGTGTGCTTGCTTCGTGTATGCTTGCGGATTTTACCAATCTTTAACAATAAACTATCTCTATAACTGGTGTTCAGGCTTTTGAATAATCTCGAGTAAATCAATAATCCTACTAGAAGATTTAGCTTGCATTTAATACTCAGTTAACGGGATACTATTTATTGGAATCAGATATAGGAGAAATTAGCCTCTACAAACTCTTCAAAATGTTGCTTTAAAAGTCTTTGTAAATTATAGTTTGGTTGAATATGATTCATTTTATAGATACGTGGTTAGTTCAGATTTTGTTTAATTCGAATCTGGTAGTTAAAATTTCGGTGACTTCTTTTAAACGTGATAAAGAAAAACATAAAAATGACCCATGCCCTATAAAGTAGTCATGTGTCTACTAGTAACTAAGTTAGAAAATAATTCCTAAATTTCTGCTGAGAATCAGTGATTGGTGTAGTTCAACTGTGAAGGAAATGATGTAAGTAACATCAAAGAAACTAGGCTTTCCTTGATCTGTACAGCGATTTGAGCGAATTTTGACTGGGATACTATTGTTCCGTGGTTTGAAAGCACCGTGTTTCCCAAAAAAATTTGAACTACTGTGTTTTTTTCTTTGATGGGATCATCTCTGTGGAAACTTTAATGAAACAAAGTATAATGCTTCCTATTTTTTAATGTTCCTTCAGCATTTCCATTTGTTTTTTTGTGATTTGTTTATATTTATTCAGTGTTACTGATCAATAAACATACGAAAAGTAGTGAAATACGTATAGAGAGTGTTTATTATGTAACTGAAACGAACTGCCTATAAACACATACATAATGATACTGATTAAAACTAAGTTCTTCATCCCTAAAAACTGACTCCAGTTAACGAAATGATTGAATTTGTGGATCCAGTATTTTAGCATATTTCATACAGAATTTAAAAGGTTGTTTATCAGTTCCCTAATCAATAACTAGCTGTATAGAATGGATGGAATATGGCTAGCAATGAAATCCAGGATTGATATTCCACTTCATTAGGGACTCGTCAGTTGAATATACCCTCATCTTAGTGTTCATGTTCACACTGATGGTCAAATGCAGTAGTGAATTCAAGTCAATGTGTCAACACAAACACTGGTATATAAAGACATCTAACTGATAAACGATTCCTCTTAGTTACTATCCAACTATTCTATTGTATTTTCGAAGTAATCCATAAGTAGTACAAATATACCAACAAAGACTGATAAAAATTCTGTTCTGCACATCAAAAAATAGAATAATTTAAATCTTATCAATAATGATATTAGAATACTTTATATATTATACACCGTAATAACGGTTTTAACTCATTTTTGATTGAAATCATGAGTCAATTGAAGCTAGATTACCATGAAAAACCTGGGAGTACTGGTAGGCCATTTCGTCCTAGTACTGGACTCCACAGCAGTGCGCACCCACGATCCCGTACCCTGCGAGATCCGAACCCAGGACCTATCAGTTTCACGCCAGGCGCTTAACCAACTAGACCACTGGGCCGGCATCCAGCGGTGTTAATATCTAACCTCAATCAATCCACGAAATTACGCCACCATCTTCAATTGTACTGAGGTAGACACCTGTTTCTACGCGAAACGGACTAGCTCCACTGGTCAAGGCTTCTCACCAGAACTCCAAGAATTTTCTCACGAAGCTAGTCATTAGTGAGCACATGGTAAGATGGTCGCGCAATTTCGTAGACTGGTTGAGGTTAGACATTAACACCACTAGGACGAAACGGCTGTCCAGTAGTTCCAGATTTTCCATGGTGGTCTAGCTTCAACTGACTCATGATTTCAATCAAAAACTTAACAATCTCCACAACGCCTAAACTGTTAACTCATTTTATTTGATGGTCTATATTTTGTTACTTTCACTCTAAAAGAACATTCACATACTTATAATTTAAAAGAAAGAAAAACAAAAACAAAGTCTGAAGTAAAGTATATTCCATAAAGAAATCCTTCATTTTAGACATGAATTCTTGACTGAATTTCCAATATTATTAAAAAGTGTCCTTGATCAATCATATTATGTTTGAACTAGCTAGATAAGTTCACATATATATCTATTCTATATCTTGTCTTTAACTTCCCTAACAGTTGAAATGTAAATTTGTTAATTTTATAATACAAATAAGTAAATATCAAACGTATAAACTGTGGGATACATCATTTAGACTAGATACCATATAATATTGAAGTTATCTGTTTATCTTAGTGACAGGAATTTGTATGATAGAAAAGATGATAAATTCATAATTATATTACCAGTAAGTTACAGTATTAAGAGATTTACAATAATTATGAACAAATAATTTTGTTTATTCTGGTTAGTGTTTTTTTTTCAAAGCATGATTGTTATCTACAAGATGGGAATGCTATTCCCATGTTTAACCCTTCTTCTTTGTATGGGCTTGGGATTAGCAGTAATTTTAGAGGAGCTACAAGTGAAAAAAAGGAAGACCAAAGAACACACTGTATTGAGAATTGAAAGCAGAATGAACAGTAACCGGTAACAACTGCAAAGGATTGACCATGATAGAGTTGAATGGAGAATGCTGATGGGTGGCCTACGCTCCTTTACGAATGGTAATAGGTATAAGTAAGTCAGTAATGAACAAGTAGGAAACTCAGAGATATTTACTACAAAATAAGATTAATTCCACTCAGTTAAGTTTTAAAACAACCTGATTTTTTTAAAAGTAATTAGGTAATAACTAAACAGACTGATGTAAAATTGTTAGATAAGAATAAGTGTAACCAATAAAGAATCATCTATTAGTCTCCGGCAGCTGAATTCGCGTCATTATAATTCTAGGGAGCTTTTGAAATCAGTTAAGATTTAAGCTCATAACTTTGTACATGAACAGACCAGATAGTTAAACTAATCTGAATGGATAACATTTCACTTTTTGCATGATCTATATTCTCCTTAAACTTTACTTTGAACTTTGATTAAATAATTATTTTTCAGCCATTGATAACAGTGATAATAATGTTCACCAGAAAATCAAATTCTTCTGAAGAGGATGGCAAGTATTTCAACGAAACTTTTGTTACAGAAAATCTTCTACGCAGTACATATTTGCACACGTACATAGTCTTGATGAGTAACAATTCCAACATTTATAGTCACTCAATAGTTTTTACAGGGAATAATAGTTATGTAGTGTCGTTTGTTCAACACGGAATGAAAATTGGTCGATTATACATCTAGATCGCATTAAAGTTTTCTGCAGTTAATTCACTCAAAGTAATAAAAACTCACTCTAGGTTTGTAATTCAGATAAGAGGTATCTTTTGTTTAATTTCAGCAATTTTTATAAACTTGTCTTTTTAGTAGCATAAAAGTTGGAGGCATGAAAATGATTTCACCTAAAAGAATATCTGAACATGAGTCAATGAGTTTAGCAGCTAGTAAATATAAACTCCTTATTATTACAAACAACAGAGATACTACATACACTGGTATAAATGTTGAACCAGATACAGAATTTCAAATCATCACCGAACGGGACAATAACAGACTATTACGTTTAGCAGTATTAGCGATGGTTTGTGTTTCTAACTCGAACCTATGCATTTAGAAAATGTATGTGGTAAATATGCCTCTCGTTATGGTTATCTTACGTTAGTTTTTAAATATTGTCAATACATACTTTCTATTCATGTCCTATTCTCTCTGGTATATTATTGTAATAACACATTCGTTATTTACTTAAGTTTACATGTATATGATACCATTGCTTAATCATCTAAACCATCGCCATTTCTTTACATTTTCATATTGCTTTGAACAATTACTATTCATTAGCATTACCACAGTCACTATCATTATAACTCGGCTATAATTGTTTCAACAATTGACATCAATTTCTTCATTTCTTTGATCTGATCGGCAACACTTATGTCCACTGTAATTAACCATGTCACAAACCATTTTCTAAAGTTTTTCTGTTTCTAAATAAGTAAAAGTTGTAAAATTATGGAGTGTATTTGTTACTACTTACATTAGATAAACTGAGTTATTTTATTCTAATTTTTTCTTACGGAAATATATTTTGTAAATTCACATGAAATAAAAAGAATTGATTCCATTTAACAATTTTCCAACTGAGATCATGAATCGTTGAATGTTAGACCACTAGTGAAAACCTGGGAGCACTGGATAGCCGTTTCGTACTAGTATGGAACTCTTCGACAGTGTGCATCCACGACCTCGCACGCACGATTCAAACTCAGAACCTTAGGTCTCGTGCGTGAACATTTAACCTCTAGACCACAGAGCCGGTCGGCATCCAAAGGTGTTAATGTCTAACTTCAACCAATTCACGAAATTGTGCGACCATCATTTAACACTGTTTATACTACTTATATTTGCATACTTGTATTCTTAACGCAGTTGAATATTATAATCAATATGATGAGACTATAATTTATGGAAGACCTTTGAGTGACACTAAACTAACATTGGGAGTGTCCACCTAATAACTAGGACTAAACAAGGGTTATAATTTACAATTGATGGTTAAGGTTAAGAATTAAATTTAGAGTTTACATCACGAACTAACATTAATTATAATCCCGAATCTCTATTTAAGCAAATGTATGAGTGAATTTCACACTAAAATCCTTATACCTGATTGTTTCGTCCATAAATTGTAGTTTCATCATCAATATATATTAAATTATTAATATTATACATAAATTCAAAAAAAATACACTTACACAATATTATCTGGATCCCAATAAATTAAATGACTTTGAAATGTATTACATTCAATAAATGAGAAATGAGTAAATTTACTAATAATGAATAATAAAATCCATAAAATATATTTTTTATTAAGCTTAATAAATTCTGTCTCAATAGTGTACCAGGAATTCATTTCAATTGATGATTAAGAAACAATAGTAATATATATATATATTTGTTTACCATCAAATAATCAGATGAGTTCACTGGAATGTTGTTTGTTTTTCGTATTTATCTTCTGTCAATAATTTTAACCATATACTACTGTTATTACATAACAATTCCAAGGTTTCATTTGATCAACTTTATTTTTTCTTGGTGACTAAGAGAAATATTTTATGTTAGTACTTAGATAATAGAATCTATTGTAGAATGACTTTCAATGAATAAAACTCAATCTATATATTAGCCAATAAGAAAACTTAAGTTGATTTTATTATTATTCTAAATTAAATTGAACCAATCTGAATGTTTCGTTTTTGTTTTTAAAAAGTGATTTTAATATACTCGTTTATTTAAATATTAATTCAGTAGAATGATGTTTTAGAAATGAAACATAGAAATTAAGGAATTGTAACTTTATCTAATAGTCTTTGATAATAATTGTCTTTACACATTAATCATGTGAATTATATGTTTATACTGGTGATTAGATTAAAAGTTGGTTGGTGAGACTCTAATTTATGGACGAACTAATCAGAAACGTTTTACAGATTTCAAGGTTACGGCATCAACTTCAGTGCTTAATGCTAACATACGATCGGTTCACAGGGAATTTTGTACAAAACGTGATAATTGAACGGCTATAACAAATAAAACGGCGTGACTATAACTTATGGGCGAAACAATCGGGTATAAGATAATAGATCTCGGATTTTCATCCATTTGGCTAAATAAATTTCTGGCATTAGAGCTGATGTCAGTTCGTGATGAAAACCCCATATATAATTCCTAACTAAGGCAAATTATGACAATTATTGCGAACTGGATAATAAAAGCACCAGTAACACTGGCTGCAGCCAGGTACTACAATATATACGGGTGTTTGGAGAGCGTACAGACTCCTACATAGGCTTGGTTATGTGCATCGTGTCGTTATCCACAAGTAGCATTTCGTGCACTCAACAACGGGAGTGCACATAAGCAATACTGAAGCCATGTGGTCGAGGCTGAAATAGTTTTTGAGACTTTATCATGGCTCCAGATGCCGACTATTCTGTAGCCGTATGGATGATTTCCTCTACTGCATGCATTACGATTTTAGAACCTCTGAACCTCTTTTTAAACAAGACAAGTTTTTTAACCACGTATAAGAAGTGTATCCACTTTATTTCTTTGGTTTTGTATAATATACTTCTACTCTATACTGGCTTTTCGCTGATTGGCTAATATTTCTCAAGCTGGCTTAAGATTCGTTCAAAGGTCGTCCATAAATTATAGTCTCGCCAGTTGGTTTACAGAATTTCTAGTAAGTTATGTAGTTTATGAAGTAAAACAAGATGGCTGATTATATTATGAATGAATAAATCTTGAAAACTTACTATTACGTTACTTATTAGTAGGTACATAATTATTATTCACATGGTTTGTAACTTCCATACTTACTTACTTACTTACGCCTGTTACTCCTGATGGAGCATAGGCCGCCGACTAGCATTTTCCAACTCACTCTCTCCTAGGCCTTCTTTTCTAGTTCCATCCAATTCTTGTTCATTCTTCTCATGCTTATCTTCATTTCACAGCGCAATGTGTTCTTTGGTCTTCCTCTTCTCCTTTGGCCTTCAGGATTCCATGTGAGGGCTTGTCTTGTGACACAGTTGGGTGCTTTCCTCAATGTGTGTCCTATCCACTTCCAGCACTTCTTCCTGATTTCTTCCTCCGCTGGGATCTGGTTTGTTCTCTCCCACAGTACGTTGTTGCTAATAGTGTCTGGCCAACGGATCTGAAGTATTTTGCGTAGACAACTGTTAATAAACATCTGCATTTTCTGAATGATGGCTTTCGTAGTTCTCCAGGTTTCCACCACATTCAATGGAACTGTTTTGACATCTGTATTGAAAATTCTGACCTTGGTGTTGGTTGACAGTTGTTTTGAGTTCCAGATATTCTTCAGTTGTAAATATGCTGCTCTTGCTTTGCCGATCCGGGCTTCCACATCTACATCAGATCCACCCTGTTCATCAATGATGCTGCCCAAATATGTAAAGGTACTTACAGCGTCCAAACCTTCTCCGTCAGTTGTGATTGAATTGGTGCATTCCATGTTGTATCGGAGAATCCTGCTTTTCGCTTTGTGTATATTGAGACCTACTGCTGCTGAGGCTGCTGCTACACTGATCGTCTTCTCCTGCATTTGTTTTCGGGTGTGCGATAGAAGGGCCAGATCATCTGCGAAGTCTAGATCGTCCAGCTGCATCCTAGATGTCCATTGTATCCAGTGCTTCCACCCTTCCTAGATGTTGACGTCTTCATGATCCAGTTGACCACCAGGAGAAAGAGAAGGGGTTAGAGCAAACAACCTTGCCTGACATCGGTCTTTACTTCGAACGATTTTGTCAACTGTCTTCCATGCACGATTTTGCAGTTTAATCCATCATAAGAACTCCGTACGATGGTTTGTACAGAATAATTTAATTTCTCTATGTGGACTAAAAATCAGGTAGAGACTTAATAAAGAAGCCAGTGATAACTGGGAATATGAATCAATAAATTTTTATTTAGTGATATCAGTGGAAACCTGAAATTTGTAAATTCGATTGCCTATTAGTTCGTGAATGTTCATTGCTGAGTTGTAAAAAAATTAAAGCGATTAATTTATTCATCGCTCCCGGCTTTTTGATATTTGCTGAGATACTGTCGGATCATAAGACAGAATGAATCTCCGTACAAAGTAACTATAACAATATAAACCACTTTTTGTAAATTAATAGACATTACTAGTGTCTACATTCTAACTAAACACATCGACAGTTGTCATATGACTCATATGATTTATTTTTGATCATAGAAATTAACTGAAACAGTAAAGTATTTCGTCTTCTGTTTATCAAAATGAAACTAGTGTTTTTTGCACGTTCGTTGTCACTTTTATTGATTAGTAAATGTTTTTGTTTGAGTATTCAAGTCGCTTTTTCAAAATTGATTCTTGGTGAATAATCACTTAGAACGGATTACAAATAAGAATCATGCAGTAAAATCAAACAATACTTGGAATTTTCTAATTAATTTCTTCTATGCTATGCCTATACTCCTCTACGAGGGGTAAGAGGCACAAGTAAGTTGATATTTTTCAATGCATGAATTCATTTTATTGACATTTTCTTTAACAACACTAAACATTACAAGCAAAGATGGATAGTGACTAACAGTGGAATCCAGGATGCTCATTTCATCCCATTTGGGACTTGTCGAATGAATGTACCTGTATCCCAGAGTTGATCTTCACCCCAAGACACGAACCAAGTATCGTTCGTCTCAAACGCCATCACGTTATCCACTTAACTACTGAGTTCTGATAGCCACTTGCTTGAGCAATGGGGTAAAGTTTAAATTCATTTGATATTGTTTGTTTGAATCTTGGTATAAATCACACTATTTCAGGAATTTCTAGTTCGTATATTAATCCGAATACTTCTAATCATCATATTGGTACCACGATGATGCCTGTGTTCGAGACAATCTACAAAGAATGCACATACATTATCAAGAAGCTGATCATTTGCAGTCCTAAACATTAATGGGAAGACTCAAACAAACAATACCGAATGAATTTAATGCCAAACATTTTATTATATTTCAACAAATATGAATCCATTTACAAACAGCTGACTGAAAAGACTACATAGTCATAGATATATATTTATTAAATTATACGTTTAACAACCCTATACATTAAAAGGGGTTTTGTGGATATTACAGTAATTTTAATAGTTGAGATCATGAATCAATTGAAACTAGACCATCCTGGACGGCTATCCAGTGCTTTCAGGTTATCCATGGTGGTTTAGCTTCAATTGACTCATAATCTCAACTATTAGCATTTTATATGTTTGAAGGAAAATTCTAAGACTAAACATTCTGAATCACATTATGAAACCGATAACTTCATTGATCTATTATGGTTTACAACATAGTTTGCTTAGAAGAAACTCTCCGAAATTCTTCGATATATCTGTATTTTGGACCAAGAAATTATTAGATGACTAAAGGTGAAATAAAAAGTAATGTCATCATCTTTATAACTAGAAGAATCGATTATTTGTAGTCTATATGAATATAATAGTATGCTGTCATGCAAACATGTTATCAAGACATTGAATATGCAAGTAAAAAGTTATCACATTACCATGGAATTATCAATACAAATAAAGTAATAAATGTGAACAAAAAGATCATGAGAACAAATAAAACACACCCTATCTTTTTAAAAACGGACTTAATTGAATAAGGGTGGTAACAGGTATAAACTCTTCGTAATAGTATTATTACAAACAATGAATTACTTATATTAATTTCCACAAAATGAAACATACTGTAATGATAAAATCATTTGACTTGATATTTATAAGGCTAATTAGTTGAAAGAATTGATATGCAATAACAGGTGAACTATTGTTACACAATATTCACTAATTAAATATGTAACAAAGGATAAAGACAACCGGATACCAATTTCATGGATGAAATCGTGAACTGATTTTATTTATATCATCAATGAAAGCCAGGTAGCACTGGTCAGTTGTTACATCTTAGTATGAGAGTCCTCAATAGTATACATCCAAAGACTTTAATTATAACCGGACCCAGGAGCTTCATTCTCGAGTGTGAATATTCACATTCCAGACCACTAAACTGGTATCGAATGGTATATATGTTTGACTTCAATCAATGAATATGCCTCTTTTGAAATGAATCGAGAAAAATTTCACAGTACTTAAATGAGTTGTATATGTAAGATTCGAGAGCATTCTGAAAAGAATGATTTTGTCTGGGTCAAATAAATTTTTATCACATAATTTAACAATAATAAGCAAAATGTTTGTGGTATTTTATTTTTTTATTAAATTTGTTTGACGGCTAGCACTGAAATCCAGGAAATGTATTTCTTTCTTCTAGATAGTCTTTATTTAAATG